AGCTCTGTACAGCTGCATTTTAACAATATTTAGCAGGTGGCAAACTTGAGTATTCTGAAAACGGTATGTGCGCACAGATGTCATCGCGCACACGCGTCAGTCTTCTGAGAGAGGAGGGGACAGTCACCCGGCGGGATAAGGTATGCTGCCTGGTCCCCTCCTCTCTCCTGATACTGTCGGGCGTTCGGTCCATGATCGAGCGCTCGACTTTTCAAAGGGGGGTGACACCAAAATGACTGTCAGTCATTTTGGTGTCACCCCTCCAATGGTGCCACCCGTGTGCGGGCCGCACCCCCCCTGCTCCCCCCTTGAGACGCCACTGTGTGCGCATGCGCACCGCAACTGTACAGAGCTACAGTCTTTCTGAGCACCGGAAGTGAGGTAGTTGGAGATTTCGATGAGTTGGAGCTATCGATAGAACATCGGCATGTGACAAATGTCGCCTGTAACTATTGAAAAGAGTGCATTTTAGTCTCCCTACTCCTCTAATGCATAAAAAATTATTGGTTTAACTCAAATGTGTTTTTTTTTTCATCACTATTTTTCCTTTATTTTATTTTTTCAAAATAAACAATGGAACAGGTTACATAAAACGTGCAGTAAAACACTTTTCCTAATGAAATAATACATTTTTCATGGATCTCTGTATCAAACAGATGGACAACTGAGGAGGAAAGAGGGACAGTTGGGAGCTCTGTGATATGACTGCTATGGATGTTCTTATCAGACTTCAATCCCCTTTTAGACACACAGTGAGGAATACGAGGCGGGGGAGGGGCAGGCACCATCTGTGTCATGTGCTCCACTATTCCTATGTTTACAGTAGGAGATTTCCAGTGCTGCTCTATTACCTGTATTACAGTAATCACCTGGATGACGTACGCCTGTAGTTTCAGCAGCATCACAGCGCTGAGAGCCAACCAGCAGCTGAGAGGCGACGAGGGGAAGACCAAAGGGCAGAGGCTCAGTGCGTCCCCATTACATCAGCGGCCGGAAGACCCCTTTAACAACACAGAGACCGCGGGTTCGCTTCCCCCGAGGGGAGTTCCTAGTTGCTGCATGTGAAGCGGCCACTAATAATATTGTGCGGGGCTCATGTCACATTAGGGAAGAACATGGAGGATCCGACACGTTCGCGGTACTGCTGAGCCACGGACTGTGTATCTGAACATCGCGTTGCTAGGAGGTGCGGGGGGGGGGGGGGG